TTTGTATTCACACAGAATCCAAGATCGCTCACTTCATCTAACGTTTTCAACGTAAAGTCCCGATAGACATAGGGATCTCTTACGGCCTTTCCAATATGAAGCACCGATGTCTCATCAAGATTAAGGGGTATGTCCCAAGCTGCAGCCCACTCCATCATCTTGTCAATGGAATGAGTTAGAGCTTGATGCACGCTTTCTTGAGTTTCATCTGAATAAACTCCATATACCTTTATATCGTCAGCGTACATATAAACTTTTACAGCGGGATGTACTGCAAGACGAGTCGGTAAGTCATGAGTATAGACCAAAAATAATAAGGGAGACAGAACTCCTCCATGTGGTACGCCACTCGTACATTTGCAACGTTTCGAAAATGAATTACCGACCCTTACGCAAATATGCCTTTCGCTAAGGTAACAACTGTTAAGGACGGGCCCGCAGACACCAAGGTAGCGTAGTTTTGAGAGAAGCTTTTCATGATTCACTTTATCAAAAGCTTTCGATAAATCAAAGTAAATTATGTCTACACCATTACCTTTGTTTATAGCCATACTCCAGTCGAAAACACAGTTCACTTTATCAAAAGCTTTCGATAAATCGAAGTAAATTATGTCTACACCATTACCTTTGTTTATAGCCATACTCCAGTCGAAAACACAGGCTGCCATCTGGGTACAAGTGGACGCTCCCAACACAAAACCATGTTGTTCGATTGGGATCAACTTGTTTCTTTCAAAGTACTGAGAAAGCTTGTCACGTATAAGCTTCTCCAAACACTTAGCTGCAGAAGAAGTTATACTTATGGATCGGAAAGAAGAGATGGAGACTGGATCGGGAACCTTAGGAATGACCCATGGCGACTCGAAAGGGCAATTTTGGGTTTTTTGGGACCTACTGTAGTCAGCTCTTGACCATTGCGTCGGCACAACAGAAATCTTGTACAAATCCTTTTTATAGCATTTCTATTATGGTAATTTCGTATGATCCTACTTTTACTACGAGAAAAGCCTTATATTACCTAGATTCTGCTGATTTTCTCGTTTACTTAACCACCTTCGACATACCATTTTTCACCAGCACTTCCGCTTTTCAACCTCAAAAAGGGGCCTCAGAATAATCGTTAACTGTGGCTTCAAGCATTGGCCAGCCCTCGTCAAGACAAAAACTAAAACAGTAAAAGGAACCCTTCGGTTCTAAATGGAGGTCGAACGCGTGGGCCCATTTCAAACGGGGTTAACACGTTGGCGAGCATGCGTCCCGATGCCAGGACGCACGTTTTTGGCTCGCTGGGGTATTTATGTTATTTATCAGGTATTCCTATAATTTCATNATGTTTTCATGTATCAGCTGAGCTCACAGCCTTCTAGAGAATCTTGAAGCATTGCGGTCCAGGAATCATTCATTTCTAACTACAGATATGAGAGAAAATAAAAGTTAGTACAAGGACAATATAAGAGCGCGGTCGCCAATGGGTTAATCATCATGAGGATCTTTTGTTTCTATTTTCCGTCTTTTGCAAAAATCAATATTCGATACTGTGAATCTAACAGTCAATATGCTACATAGACACATCACTTCTGATTTTTGTGAACATATGAATTGTGAGCCGATGGTTCCTAATTTCTTGGAGAAGTGTCTTCTTTGCAGTCATAGTTCAGATTTTTCAGATCACGCTCTCGGGACCGCGAACGCCGTCGTAGTCGTAGTCGTTCGCGTGACCGCCATCGTCATGAAGACCGCGATCGCCGTGAGAGAGACAGGGACGATCGGGATAGACGACATCGTCGCTGAAGATTTCTCGCTTGGCGAGTGGATAAGGTGCGCGCGAGGATGTACTATCCCGCGTTTTCGTTACCGCATCATCACATGCAATAATACGGTTAATGTAGTCATCGCTGCGCCATCTTGTTTAATACTGTTTCATTGGCTTGCTCGTACGATATATAAACTTTCTGACCACTCAACGTAATTTGATTTTTGGGTCGTCAGCTACTTGTTTTCTCCACATTTCTCGTTGTGCGTTGTTGAACTCAGATACGGCAGTAAGATCTACTTTTGCGAATCCGTGAATCCCGTCCTACATTCTTGGTGATGTTGTGCCCGTTCAGGTACTAAACGTCTTATTTTCACCTTTTCAACTTTGGATACATTTGTTGCACATGTATTGGCATGATATTTGAAAGTCATAAACCACACAATACATTTGATGTTTACGAGACGAGAGCGACGATGGTGCGGGTATTCTGCCAAGGGCGTGCTCCACCAACGTCAGTGTGTATTGCAGGTGCGCTTTTCTCTCTCATGGGAGTCAGTTCAGTAGTTGTTAACGCTATTTGTAGTGTTCAAATCTCATATTGATATACTTGAAGTTTTCTAATAAAGCGGTTACTATCATTCTGTTTCTTTCGTTCAGAGTGTTGCATGATAGCGCCATGATTTCGAAAGGAAAGGGGTTTGGGAAATGCAAGCAGTAACGTTCAGATATTTTCAAGTGCAGGTATGATAGGGTTTGTAAGTTCGTAGAGTTTTGCGTTAGAGTTATTTTACAACGATTCATTTTGTTTTTTGGCAAACTGTATGCATTCATTTGAAAGAGCTCTTTCTCCTCTACAAAACTGTTTTATTCGTTTTTAGGATAATTAAACTGTTCGTCTTTTTTCGGGCTCAGAAATGGAATATCCAGGAAGAGAAAATAGCATTTTCGACATCTGCTTTTCTTTGCTTCTCATCGAGGTCAAAAAAGCAGCCGAAACCGCTCGGGACATATGCAGTGTGTACGGGGAAGGTGTCTTAGGTGTGTCTACTGAAAGGTGTGGGTGGCCCCAGGGAAGGCGCCAAAGCCGAGAGTCAAGCGAGATCTTCACCCAAAAAAGGGTTATGATCTGCTTTTGGTGGGACTGGGTAGGCATGGTGCATTGGGAAACTGCTCGAACGAAACGCCACTGTCAACAAGGAGGTCTACATTACCCAGCTAAACAGTGTAAATGAGGCTATTCGGCTGAAAAGACCTTATAGAGGTGGTCAAGTCATCTTGCTCCACGGCAACACCAGGCCCCATATTGCTCAAGTCGTCAAAACAGCACTCCAAGAGCTTGAATGGGAGGTTCTTCAGCATCCACCGCACTCACTGGATCTTGCACCTGCCGACTATCACCTTTTTCGCTCTATGTTAAACCCAGTGAGGGGTGTTACCTTCGATGGCGAAGGGGACCTTAAAAACTGGCTCAACAAATTCTTCGACACCAGAACGGCCGATTTTCGGCGAATCGCCATCAACAAATTGGTCGAGAGATGGGAGGAGGTCGTGAACAAACGGAGGATTCATCATTGGTTAATTTATTATTATAGTTATTGTTTTTTAGTTCAAATAAATCTTTGTGAAAAAACTCTACGAACTTATGTTACAACCCAATATTTGACTATTGAGAATGACTTGTTACTTTTGCTGTACTTCATGTAATTATTGTCTAACTGCAGCATTTCAACGAGACGGATTTACGTCTCGTGGATGTGCTACTCAGTAACCCGAGTTCTCACTGGGCGCGTTGTTTGCATTAGAGCGCAGGCGGTAAACCCATTTAGGACACCTTTTCCGAAATTCTTCCTTGCGAAAAGCAACAAGTCAGTGTTTTTGTCAGTAGGAACATTTTTTCGCCATTTTCGTTCGTTATTCCGAGCATAGAGCTTGTCAATCGCATTATGTAGAAAAGAAGGTAATATGTGTTAATCTCAATCTCCTGCTCGACTCTGAAATGAAACAGTCTGGCAGCGGATAAATACAGAGAATCGAAAGCTGCGTAGAACTGCCTTTTACCCACAAATTTCCATTTCCGCGGTATCAGTAGAGATGTTTGAGACGGATGCATAATGCGAAGTTGTGTGAGCATTTCGAAACGAAAATGCAGCAATAGCGTGCTTGCAGAAAACACGAATAGTCAGCGTTAACTGGTTTGCAAGGGACAACATGCTTGTTCAGTCCGTGGTGAAGCTCTCGTAACACTGTCAACCTATGAATTGCGCCATTTCTAGGTTGATTCAGCTGTAATAAAATGCTTTTTTCCTTTTCCCTATATGCTATTGATTTTAAAACCTTTGAGCAACGAAACTAGATTATTTCCGAAAAGTCAGTGATTTCGCCTTACCTATTGGTCACATTGATTGAAATATACTTATGTGGACCACATTCTAGCTTACACTTTAAATATGCCTACTTCTATATACCCAACTTGTGCTATGAGCGAGCCCCACTTTCATTCATATGTGAGTGCGGGGCGGAAATCGTAACATACAGCAGTAATTGGTACATACCCCATTTTGGTCACTCTCCTGCAAAAACAGCAAAACTTACTGAATTCCCTATTATTTTTGTTCCATGATTTCGTAACTTTCCTTAAACCGGAGTAATGGCCGACTTGATGACTCATACGTTTTTACGACTTTTTAGACATGACTAGGTACGGCGACGATATTCGCACCATTTGTACGCAGCAACTCTAGCTGGAAGCTGGGAGTGTCTCACCGCTCGCGCTCTAAGGCAAGCAACGGAGAGAACTCAGGTTACTGTGCAATTCACGCATCGCGCATAACATCGACTTGAAGGCACAGTTCACGATAGCTTTGGGTAATCCAGATTATGACAAAAAATGGAAGATAATGTGGAAAATAGTGCGATGAAGGCGAAGAAAGCACACGAATAGGTGTTTCCGAAGTAACAGAAGGCTTCAAAAAAGTTAAAAAGGAGTCTGGACGAGAATTAGACTAGAAAAATGAAGAAGAATGGTTACGTGACTACTTAAACTTTCTATGCGTCCCTGACGACAAGAGGCTAGACGCAGAGAAAAACACCCCGGGTGAACGTGCTACGTAAAAATCTGGCGGCGTCTGCGAAATTGGCTGTGGGACCGCATAACCGTAACCCGCGCTCATGTGCTTAGTTGCAGCTGGCCTAAATTTGACTGCGATCATTTTACTACCATTCCCTTCGTTGCCTACCATACTGTCCTGGTGACACTGGCTCGCACTGTCAACCACAAAAACGCCTGAAGTATGAGTATTTCCGATGACAACATTAAAAACAGTGGGCGACCCTCTTCATATCGGATTTGAACAAGAAACCTCACAAAACCATCATTTGTAAAATTCAAAAATAAACCTAAGAAAGATGTTTTGAAGTGCTTCTCAATGTTACATTTGGGACACCGAAGGGAATCAAACAGTTTTTCGAAAACCCTATGTTGCGAGCTGGACGTCACCTAGACGGGACTGAACCTAAGGAAAACACAAAATAATAATATATTTAACAAAATTTAGGCCAGCTGCAACTAAGCACATGA